TTTTTTCATAAATAAGAAGAGCGATATTTTTATCACTTTTAAAGAGTAGAAAATTTTAAAAGAAAAATAGATTGGAAAGCAGACAAAACATTTACGTACTGATAATAAACAGGAGTTTTGTTCAGGATATTTTAATACCTTCTACAAATCCGAAGAAATTATGAGAGACAACACAATCCAACACATATCGTAGCAAAATAATGTGATAGAGTGAATGAACATGACTATTATGAAAAATATTGAAATTGTGGGATAAAGCATCATAATTTTATTGATAGTAAGGGTATTCAAACCCAATTATAATTGAAACAACAAAGGAAAGAAATAAAACATAATAAAGTAAATAGTAAATATATAATGAGGGAATAAAGGTAATAAGTAATAATGACTGTGAATTTCCATTATAAATCTAATACTCCCCCTCAAGTTGAGCACTAGATATCAATCATGTTCAACTTGGATTTGAAGTCATCAAACAAATAACGAGAAATATTCTTGATGAGAATATCTGCTAGTTGACCACTGAAGAGCACAAAAGGAACATAAATTTCTCCGGACTCATTTTTTTCTTTAATGAAGTGTCTGTCAATCTTTATATGTTTGGTACGATCATGTTGGACTGGATTATGAGCAATTCTGATGACGATTATCACAAAATAGCTGCAGTGGGATGAAGTTAGCATACAAAGTTCACGAAGCATGATGTGTAACTAGAGGGCTTCACAGATCCCCATAGACATGGACTGAAATTCGACTTCAGCACTGCTCCAAACAACCACAAACTGTTTTTTGTTTTTTCATGCGACAAAATTCCCATAAAAATTAGAAATATCCTAAGATGGAACGTTGATCAGAACCTGACCCAAACCAATCAACATCTGTAAAACCAGTAATAAACCGAGAGGTGTAACGAGAGAAAAGCAAACCTAAGTCCGGTGCACCTTTTAAATAGTGGAAAATCTGGCAAACAACTTGAAGATGGTGCTCATGGGGGTCATACATGAATTGACTTACTATACCAACTGCGTGGCATGTCATGGTGAGTATGAGCGAGGTAGATGAATTTTCATAGATGTATTTCTCTATAATGCGCTGGTAGTGAGTCTTGTTGACAAACATAGTATTAGAAATGTCAGATAATTTTTTATTGGGATTCATAGAGACAGCCACATTCTTGCACGGAAGAAGATTGTTCTCTGTTAAGAGATAATTTACATATTTGCACTGAGATAGAGAAATGTCCAAGATGATCAAACTACTTCCATACCTAAGAAGTACCAGAGAGATCTCAAGTCCTTCATTTCAAAGGACTTAGCAACAATGTCTTTCAAGATCTCTAATGTTGGGAGATCGTTACATGTAAGAACAATATTGTTAACATAGATAATAAGGATATCTACCTGGTCATTGGAGGAATGTCGAAAGGAGAGAATGTGATCTGATTGAGCCTGAGTAAAACCATGGCCCACAACCACCTTTGGGGACTGCTTTAGCCCATAGAGAGACTTTCACAGCTTAAACACTTGCCCTCTGGAGGTAGTAGGGTCAAATATAGAAGGAAGAGGCATGTATACCTCTTTTATAAGCTCTTCATTCAAGAATGCATTCTTGACATCTAGCTGAAATAAAGACCAATCCAGATTCACTGCAAGAGACAACAAGACCCGAATAGTGTTTAACATAGTCACTTGAGCAAATGTCTCCTCATAGTTAACTCCGTAGGTTCGTGAGTACCGTTTAGTGACTAATCGTTCCTTATTGCGTTCAAAAAATTCATTAAGATTTAACTTGGTGTTGAAAATCCATTGGCATCTCACAGTTTTCTTACCTCAAAGAAGCTCAACACCGTCCCATGTATGGTTCTGCTGAAGAGCATTCATCTCCTTCAGTACTGCCGTTTTCCAGGGTAGATTAGCAAAAACAACCTCAATAGTAGCTGAGATCTAATGGTCTGTCAGGGCAGTCACAAATGTTCTGTAGGTCGGTGATAAAGTATGGAAAGAGACATAATTTGCTATAGAATAGATGGAGCATGTCTAATTACATACACTCACCTCCTCATTCGGAGGAGGGGTCAGGCTCAGGATGCGCCCGAAGTGGAGTCTGGGTCCTGTAAGGAGGTAGCAGGTTCCAGAGTAGAAGTATTGGATGGATGCGTCAAGTGTAGACATAGATAGTGGGAGGAGGAGATGGTGCACTCACTGAATTAGGGGACTCATCGGAACAGAGGACTCCTCAGTGAGGAACATTGGGGGGGGGGGCATCCATAGGAGTAGGATAAGAGATATTGCCTAAAAACTCAAGCTTCCCCTCATGGAGCCGAGCTAGGAAAATAGGGAACACTTTCAAAGACTGAGACATCAACACTCACATAGATTTTGTTAGTGATAGGATCAAGACACCAATACCTCTTTTAAGTGGCGGCGTACACAAGGAAATGCATTTTATGGATCTGGGATCAAGTTTATTTTGATTGGGGGCAGTGTTCTTAACAAAAGCAGTGCACCCAAAAATCTTAAGGCTAAGGTGGATATCTTAGGGCTAAGGTGGATAAGATTCAATTGGCAGGGAAGCAAGACATCGGGACGACTAGGGGGGTTTGGAACTTGTAAATTTATGAAGATACTCTATTTATGAGATAGGTGGCATTGAGAATGACATCGTTCCAAATTCATTTTGATACATTAGATTGAAACATAATAAAACGAATAATATCGAGGAGGCGAAGATTTTTCCTCTTAACTACGCAATTTTATTGAGGAATGTCTGCACACAAGCTATGATGGGGGATATCCATACTCATCAAAAAATCACCCAAAATAGAGTTGAAAAACTCACGGCCATTATCGGTTCAAAAGACATAAATAAAAGTTTTGAATTGAGTTAAAATGAACGAAAGACCTAAATAGAAGTTTTGAATTGAGTTAAAAAGAAGGTGTAAACATTTTGGAAAGTGACAACAACCTTCGATTTGTCTTTTAAAAGGTAGACTCATGTCATTTGGGTGTGGTCATCAATCAAAGTCAGGAACCTTCGTTTATTGGTGTAGCTGAGAGTGCAAGATGGTCCCCAAAGATCACTGTGAACGAGAGAAAAATGAGCTGAAGGTGTGTAAGTATGGGGTAAGTGATGAACCCGATGATATTTGACTAACTGACATGTTTCATAATTGAAATTAGAAAATTTTTTATAAGATAACATCTAAGGATATAAATTTTTTACATATTGAAATCTTGTATGACCTAAACAATAATGCAAAAAAAAAATAATAGAACATTCAACGACTCGAGATAAGCTACGAATCTTGAGAGGTGTGTCCTCACTCTTCATGCTTTTCTCTTGGAAGTAGTAGAGTCCTGCTAACCTCTTAGCAATTCCAAGCATGTTCTCCGAATGACAATCCTGAAAAACACAACCATCAGAAAAGAAATTAACAATACAATCAATATCATTCCTCAACTTACTGACAGATAACAAGTTACATTGCAACTGTGGAACATATAAAACAGTCTAGAGAGTTAAACAATTTGTTAGAGCAACTGATCCTTTACTAACAATGAAACTACATGATCAATCGATAATTATGGTGGTATCTTTTTCAGAGTACAGATAGTAAATCGAGAAAACTTGTGAGCATCCCGTCATGTGATTCATGACATATGAACCAATAATCCATGGACTAGAGGTAAAATAAACCATAAAAGCCATAAGAAGAGTACATTGTCGAACGTGGGAGGTCGACGGACCTCTATATACTTGATGGGTTCCAAGTAGCATGATCAATTGCTCCATCTGGTTTCTCAAGGATTCATAAGATTCCAGGATGTTTTGGGTAGGAGTTTGTTGGACAGTGGTAAATTCAGATGTTGCCGTAAGGCTTTTGCAACAGATTATTTGACCGAATGTTTGTATTTTGGTTTTCCGTGAAGTTTCCAGTACTTGTCCCGAGTGTGGTTGAGATTCTAAGACAGTGATGGATTTGTAAGTCACCGGCTAACGAATAACTGCAAGGAAGCTGCAAGAATGCTATAGGAAAGCTGCAAGAATGCTACAGAAAAGATGCAGGAAAGCTGTAAGAAGGTTGCAGGGAAGTTGCAAGGTCTCAGAAAAGATGCAGGAAAGTTGTAGGAAATCTGAGAGCCGAATTGTAGAAAATTTGGGAGCTGGAGTGTTGGATATCAGGTAATCTGTAAAAAATCTGCAGAAAATCTGGGAGTCGGGCCGCAGAAAAACTAGGGGCCACACTGCAAAACCCAACGGGAAGGATCAACAGAAAAGGCAGCGGGAAAGCTTGCATGTGACTCAAATTTTTAAATATATAGTCAATAAATGGATCTCAGAGTTGGAAGCTTCGCATAATCTTTTGAAGATTTGACTGCATACTGAGATGGATGCCATTTATATTGCCATGGAGACGTTGGAGAATCCATCATTGCAGGAAAAGCCTATAGCACTTGGTGGATTTTCCATGATATCTACTGCAAATTATGAGGCTCGTAAATTTGATGTTTGTGCTGCGATGCCTGGCTTCATTGCTTGTAAATTATGTCCAGATCTCAATATAATTGATGTATGCATCAATAGGGAAGGCAAGCGGAAAAGCTTGTAGAGAAGGCCTACGATAGTGCTTTCTTCGGGAAGGGTTGCCCAGCGGCTGTAAAATCCAGTCAGACGAGCCGGCGGTTAGAAGCCCCTGCAGGAGGGCCTGCAGGGAAGACCAACAGCTACTGTAGAGGAGCCCGACGGCTTGGATTTAGGGTTAGAACCTATCTCTCATAACATATTGGACTTGTGGAATAGAACATCATAATTTTATTAATAGTATGAAGGGAATTTAAACCCAATTACAATACTCACAACAAGGAAAAAATAAAATAGAATAAAACAAATAGAAAAAAATAAAACATAATAAAGTAAATATGAAATATATAATGAGGGAATAAAAGCTAATAATAAATAAAAATGACTAGAAATTGCCGTTATAAATCTAATAGAAATTGTTTACCAAGAACAGCTTGATAGTAGCAATGACTAATTCCATAGCTTAATAATAGCTCGATAGAAACAACGTTTTCCATGAACATAACCAACCAAAACAATGCTCCATTGTTTACAACATTCAACCACTTCTAAAGAAAACCATATTTTATTCTTTACAAGTTGAAAGTGAGGTTGAAGTTGGAGGAAAATTGGGAAACAAGAAGCCCCTTACAATTTAAAGAATGGGGGTGGCCGAGAATGTAAGAGGTATTAGAAGAGAAAAAACCCAAAGGCCTTGCTGGAGGGGGAAAAAAAAGGCTAGAGCAAGTCAGATAGGGATACAAAGCGAGGGGGATTAAGGGGGAAGTGTCATCACAATATAAAATAAAATGTTATGTATATATTCATAAAGATAACACCTCACCGCCCTAGGCATAAAGCCTCTGAGATTATTCTAATATTAAAAAGGCTTGAACCTCGAGAGCGATAATGAGGCTAAAACCTCAACATATTTTGTTGAGCGTCTCAGTGTAAGAAGTGCTTTGCGGCGCGCGTCTCAAATGATTCTTTAAACCATGAATGATAGAAGTACTGTTCAACTAGGCGACTAAATAGTATCTCCAATTAACTGAAGCATTGCCTTGAGAATTTTGCAACAGTAGGAAGAACTGTGACCGTGGCAAGAACTTGTAACTGGTTGAAGGAAAAGGCAACTGATGCCCTTAGCTGACTGCCTGTAGTCGTCATCAAGACTGCAAACAAAACTCTCCAGCGTAGCATTATGTAAAATTTCCTTGAGAAGTGTGGTATAATCATCAATAATAACAATAATACTGCCTTCCAAACAGATCGAGTCTTTCAATTTGAAAAACAAGCAATTATTTCCTGTCAATTGCCAAGCAACTTTCTGAGCTAATAATTATTTGCAAAGATAACTTTTCCACCCTATGTCCTGCGCCATTCCTTATTCCGCAACCTGTTAATTACATCATCCAGAAGAGGAATTGCTTGCACTAACCTTGTGCTCCTCCTCCACTCCTCCTCCCTCGTTATCTTCATAATAATCCCATCGAACACGTCCACAGAATAATTCGCACACACTGCTGCAACCACAAACATCCATGTCTCCACATGTGGAACAACGCCCTTCCTTAGCATCGCCTCCACAATTCTACAACCCTCCTCATCCTTTCCTGCATTACAAAACCCTCTGACAAGTGCATGGTAAACCGAGAAATGTGGCACCAGGCCCTTTACCACCATCTCAGCTAAATACCCATTAGCCTTATCCAGCTCTCCTCGAGCACATAATCCATTAACCAGACTCGTGTAAGACAACAGATCAGGTACAACACCACTCGCATGCATTTCGTCAAACAGCTTGCCTGCATAAAGTGGACGCCCCTCCCTACAGAATCCGATGATAAGCGTATTAAAATGCACTAAATCGGGTGCGCATCCCCAAAGCCTCATGCGGCAGATGAGCTTGAAGGCCTCCCGGAGCTGCTTTTTCCGGCAAAGGGCGTTGAGAACAGTGGTGCAAGTGAGGTTATCGGGGCTGAGGCCTCGATTGAGCATTTCTTCGAATAAGGAGAGGGCGGATGAGAGTTGGGCGCGGCGGCAGAGGCCCTGGATGAGAAAGCGGTAAGAAGAAGCGTCAGGGGAGAGGCCGTGGAGTTGAAGGCGATGGAACAGGGGGATGGCAATGGAGAGGCGACGAGCGCGGCAGAGGAAACGGAGGAGGAGGTTTTGAGAAGGGAGGTGAGGGTGAGAGCGGAGAAGGGAGAGAGCCGCCGGGAGGTAGGAGGGCTGGGATGAGAGGGCAGTGAGAAGGCCTCGGAGGAGGTGAGGGGGAAGGATGTGAGGAGGGAGAAGGCGGAGAGCGGTGAAAGCGAGGTCGGGGCGGGATAGGCGGGAGAAGGTGAGGGAGAGGGAGGAAAGAAGGGAGAGGGAGGGAGGGGAGGGGAGGCGGCGGAGAAGTGAAAGGGAGAGAGAAAAGCGGCCTGCGCGGGCTAGTTTAAGAATTAGGATTTGGAGATGGGAGGGAGTGGGAGGGATGATGGAGGAGGAGAGGTCGTATATCTCTTTGGCCAGGAGAGGATCGCGCTGGGAGGCAATGAGCTTGCGAATGCGCGCCGGAGAGCCGATAGAAAGCTCCGGCGCCTGACTTTGGGCGGAGTAAGAGCAGCGGCGGCGGGAGAAGAGTGGCAGAGCTGGCGATCTTCTCGCATAGAGGACAGGTTGAAAGAGCATTTCGCCACTCCATGTTCATGACATTCTTCTCCTCACTTCTTAAACTCCGAATTTGGGTGGCATTATTTACTATTTTATTATATTCATGGAACACATCAAATTATCTCTCTTTTCCTACATATTAATTTTCTTAAAATTTAACTTTAGGACGTTATAATATTGCATATCGCATTAAATATTAAATCATTTTAAATTAAAAAAATATTTTCATGCATATTTTTTATGCAATTTTAGCACTATACATACGCAAATCCTTCATACATAATTATGACAAAATAAAAAAAAAATTAGAAAAAATTTTAAAAAAATCATATATTAACAATGTTGTCAATAAATAACTTATTTTAAAATTTGATGAAGTAGCCATTTAGAGTTTCATTTTATGACTGATTTAGTTTCATTAATATCATGATTTGGATTTTTAATTTTGGGTTGATTTCTTTAATAATTAGTTTTATTAGGTCACTTTTTTATAGTTACTAACATTATTGCAATGATTTGTGGTATTAACATGTTTATTTTTTTTTTCAAATTTATCATGATTTGGATTTTTAATTTTGGGTTGATTTCCTTAATAATTAGTTTTATTAGGTCACTTTTTTATAATTACTAACATTATTGCAATGATTTAATGATTTGTGGTATTAACATGTTTATTTTTTTTCAAATAACTCATTTTACAAATTGTTTAATTGTAATTTGTTTGTTGTAAACATTTCATGTTTTTATTTCATTTTAATTGATTTGATTAAATCAAACAAATTTTGGCTAAAATTTCATTAGATGTTGTTTTAACTCAACTTCATCTAGATTTTTTTTGATTCATTTTATGAGTTCTATTTGAATTGGCTTGTTCAACATTTTTTGTTCCATTTTATATAATTTTGATTTAACATTTCCATTTTTCCTTATTGTTATTAGAGTTTCATTTTGAACCAGTACATGCATTTTTCATTTCAGGTGACAAGCATATAAAGTGCATTTTTTATTAGGAAAATGTATATACTTTATATACATACCCCACAATCCATGTATTTACAAATGTAACATCTAAAATTTAATTTTGACATTTGCAAATACTTTGGTTTCATAAACATATGCATGAAAAAACTAGTAAAAGTGTTACTGCAGAAATAAAATTAATGATTTGAGTGCAATGCATGTAAATATAAAAGTTTAGATATCTGGTAGGCAAATGCATTAGATGTGCATCCACCAACTCCATGTAATACTTCATTTTTTTTTTAAAGAGTATTATTTTAACAAAATATTTGTAAGGGATTGTTAGAGAACTTCCTTTGAAAGAAAAGGAAAAGCTCACAGAATATTGGTAATAGATACAGAGCTCAGCTTTGTATCTAAAATGAAGCACTGCAAATAATGCATTTTAATGTGGCCTAAATAAATTAGCATTTAATTTACGAATCTTACATGCACATAGACATCAAAGAACCTGCCTTTTTGGCTCCCTAGCCTAAGAAAAATAAAATAAATTCCTAGAGCTGATAATGCTACTCTCAAAGCAAAATCATACATAAATGTAAAGAGTCTTGAATCAGATAAGCTGAGCCCTTTTGAGGTCTGAAACAACACTCTGGTCTTCAGGGGCCCTTTCATTATAGAGCACCTGCAGCAGCAGCACAAAGAGTTGTTTGTTAACAGCACCTGGCACAAATTTTGTGAAGTTGGTAGTGCCTACCTTGTCAATGATGCCATACTCCACAGCTTCGCTAGGACTGAAGTATTTTGGTCGTCGGATGTCTTCCTCGATCTGCTCTGGAGACTTTCCTATGTGCTTTGCATACAGAGCAACCTGCAAAGTAATTACAATGACCCCATGCAACAGCCAGTAAAGAAGAGCAGAAATCAGAGAATATAAGAAAATGTTGGCAACGACATTAAACATAGGTGTAGAGTCATTGTCTGACTTCTCTTTAATGAAGTGTTCGCCTATCTCCGTAGGCTTTTTTTAATCATAAATCAGGTGAGTTATAAACTTCTTCGAAGATGGATCGTAAAATTTATGTCCTTTTGAGTAAATCAGCACCGCACAAAAACAAATACGATAGCCATCAAATCAAGATTTTCACTGATTGACTATGAAATTGAACAAACGGTGCGAATGATTTGAAATTCTTTAGTTCGATTGAAAGTTGGACAGAATTTCCATTCAACTCTTGTAAACCAGGAGTCCATAAAGAAAATTATTTATAAAGTGTGCAGTTGTCAAAATAACTTCCCTCCTGTAACATTTAAATTCAATATTTTGAAATAGAAATGCCAGTGGTCATACAAAAGAAATGACAGCTTTTCTTTTTAGCAATTTCATTTTATTGTGTGTTTACAAATATGGCTCATAAACAATATATTCCTACAAGAAGTACGGAGCCGAGGCCTGGTTGAAATAATCCCTTGGATTATCTAAACTAGATTGTTTGATTTTGACACCAATCAGTTTTGTACCGTGTTAGAAAAAAACGGAAAGACAAAACTCACAACAAATTTGTTGTTTCTAGAAAAACAGAAGAATCTCTAGTACAATCATCAAATCAATGTGCCTCAGAAATTGAAAACAATAAAAAAAATATAATATCATTATGGATTTGAGAAAAGGGAACTAAATTATTTTGCTGATGGTGGGAAGGGATGCATGTTTGTATTTTATAAATTCACAAATCACAAATGGAAGATTTTGTTGACCTTGTTTTTGTTCTTGATCATGGTCGAACTCACCCATGTGTCTTGTAGGATAATGTCAAGTTGATCATGAATATCATCAGCTTGGCAGCTTTTGATTCACTCCAATCTATGCATTGCATGTTCGTGTATTGTAGTTGGTCCAGTGGCTTGTCATCACCCAGGCTCATCATCATTCTTTAATTTGATTTTTGAGAGTGCGACGTGTTTGTCATTATGTTTGGGGAGACATGACGAGTGTGATGACGATTCACAAACCTTTTTAAATGCTTTTGTGTACATAGAGTTTCATTTGCATGAATTTTTTGCGCACATAAAATTCTTTTCATTGGAGTGTCGTTTCGTAAAACTGATTGCACAATCATGTTTGTATCATCGAGACAATTCCAATGAGCATATTCACATTTGAATTATGGAAGATCTATAATCATCTTTGATGCGTGCCAGAAAATTCGCTGCGGTAGAGTAACGGATTATCGTCTTAGCGTTGTAAGAGAATTATGCACACACTCAGATGAAAAATAAAAAAAACAGTGACTACTCCAGAAGTTTTAACGTGGAAAGCTCGTAAAGGGAAAAACCACGGGGTCTGACCCAGTTGTGAAAATCTATTATTAATTGATGATTACAGAAATCTCTTATCCCACAGACGGAAAATGATAACTATATTTTTCAGATTACGATGCTGACTGACAGCGTATGATTGGTGGTGTGATCGATCACAGTTGGCGGAGGTCAATGACGATTGGTGATGGTCTTCGGCGGTCGGCGTTGGTCGACTGCGATCGGCGGTGGTTGACAATGAAGGTTGACGGTAGTCGACGGCGGAGGTCGGCAGTGTTCGACGACGATCGGCGGTGATGTTGAACTACAACTTCTCCTCAAGGTCTCAGACTCTCCCTCCAGACTTCAGCGTTGAACTACAACTTCTCCTCAAGGTCTCAGGCTCTCCCTCCAGACTTCAGCCCCCCTCATGAGAGAGATGGGGATTTATTTATAGTGTTCTGGGTGCAATTAATGCAGAAATATAAATTATTTTGATCGGACGATCAAGAGAGCTTTTCTTGATCATACGACGTTTACTGGACATTTGAGTGTCTTAATGATGTCAAAATTGTCAAAATTGTGTGATCGTGGGCTCGTTGGATTCGTCTTGTCGAGCCACTTGATTCGAGTATAAACTTGTCATATTTAACAACTCTCTGATCTTTCAAATATGTCTGAAAATCACTTAAGTATGGTTCAATGACTTGATCTGGGCTTGATTTGACTCAGATCGGGCTACTTTTCATATCATTAGATCTGTCTCATCAAACCAGTCAGTTTGACTATAAGTTTGCTGAAATCAGAGCTTTTGATGACTTTTTATCAAGATTTGAATATTTCATGCTTAAAATATCATCTCGAGATTCGTGTCGGATGATGAAAATTTGTTGGTAGCATATCAATCTTATTTAAATATTATATAAAATTATTATAAATTTATATATTTATATATAGAAATTACTATATATTTATATAAATATATATTAATTAATATATTTTTATAAATCTATACATTAAAAATATATAATATTCAAATTCAAATTATTCTTTCGTAATATTCACATTAATTAAAACTTAATTAAATGACAATTGAGCCATTAAGAATATTTTCAAGAAAACAAAATTTATTTCAAAACTTTTGAATCCTACGACAAAATAAAAATTAAAATAAAAAAAATCTTCACGCCCCTATCTTCTCTATCATATTGGGAAGATAAATTCGACATTTTTGGTTATATTCGATCAAGTTATAAGTCTCACCTTTGCTATCTTTTGCATCAAATAGAGAAGATGTCCAAACTTGCTTGAGTTCACTAGATTAATCAATAAGTTTCATTTCTTCCATCTCTTGTGTTTTGCCTCTAGTCCTTTCCCTACCCTTCAATTCTCTTCACATCATACTGAGGAGAATCATCTCTCAACCTCTTATCACACCATATTGAAGAGTGTTGTCATCCATTGATTCTCCTCACATTACATTGAGGACTTCTCTTCACACCACACTGATGAGAGGCATATTTCTTGATTTCAGCCACTCTATATTAAGGGAAGGCTTCTTTTGGTCCTCCTTACCCTATATTGAGAAGAATCTTCTTACAAACATTTTTTTGCACCACATTGAGAAGGGTCTCACCTATCGATCCTCCTCACACCATAATGAGGAGAGTTTTTGTTGGACTTTTCTCACACCATAATGAGTAAAGTCTACGTCTTTTGAGTTTTCCCTCACATTATATTGGGGGAAGGAAAATATTCTATTGACCTCTCCTCACATCATATTGAGAATTGTTATTTCTCAATCTCCCTCACACTATAATGAGGGTAATCATCTTTTGATTCTTCCTCACATTATATTGAGGAAAATCATCATTTAGACCCCTCCTTGCACTAACTTGAGGAGAGTCCGTGTCTCTCGAGTTCTCTCTCATTATATTAAGGGAATCTCTAGCCAGAACATCTCCTCACACTATATTGTAGAGAGTCAACATCAGTCTTTTCTCCTCACACTATATTTAAGAGAATCTTCATATCTTATATATCTCATCGCCCTATGTTAAGGAAATACTTTGGGTATCTTGATCATAAATGATAAAACTATAAATCTGAATCCCACACATCCTATGTTTCCTACCCCTGAGTCATAGATCCTTAGGAAACCTATGTCAGCATTGGCATGCACCATCACACATGGTGCTATAAGTCCAGTTTAGGTTTCTCCATCATATGGGAGTGGAGTGTAAGCCATTTCTGTCAGCCTAGGACTAGTTAGTCTGCAAACTCTCCTTGAAGAAGGCAACTCATGATGACAAACAATGATTCTCCGATTACCCCTTAACTCTGCAGATTAAAGGCACTAACGACTCAGAATGATGAAATCATGGGAGGTTGGTACTCCCCTTTGATTCATTTCAGCATCTTTGAGCCCATCTTTTTTGATTCATGTCACTTCCTAAATTTCCATCCTCTATAAAGTCACATGGAACCCATTCTGACCTTCATTTCACCTAATAGAACCCCATCTAAATCTAAATCTAAATCTTAATCAGCCCATGAACATAAGCATTGATTCCTTAATCGAGAGTGTTTTAGGATATGCCTAGAATGTAATTAACCTTAAAAGCTTACTCTTTTGAGAAGACTTGACCCTAAGAATCACAATAAATCATATTAGGACTTATATTCCTTATAAGGAAAATCTCTGAGATATAAAATCCAAGCTGTCTTCCATTCCTCTACTGCAGCACCCTCAAGGCATCTTTCGAAGCAGAGAAATTCCAATATCAAGCCCCTCATGCATGGAAGGATATACAACTTTTAAGTCAAATGATGGATGTCCTACGCTATGATGATAAAGCAATACTTCATCTTCATTGAATAAAGAAATTAAAAAAAATTATGGTGAGGGTGATTTACTGTTGTTATTACTTTGATTTCTTTATCTCTCAAGATAAAGAAGTTTATTTCATTCCTTAGAACATTCAATCATCTTTCCCCAATCCTTGTCCTCAAATACATAATAAGTAGGTAAAAAGATGACATTACAATATAAATCTTAAGTAATTTTTTAATGAAACAGACAACTTTAGAATATGTAAAACATCCGTTAGCACAAGTGAGAGACTAATCAAAATGGCTCCTAGATCAGCTATAGTAGTTAAAGAATCATCCGCTATAGCAATTTTCTTACTGCTTAGATAGGATATATATGTACTAAACTTCGATGAAGAGTAATTTATATGATCGATGGCTCTTTAATCCAAGATATTTAATCCAATAAAGATAAGAAAGTCACTTGAATGCGTCAATGAATTAGTAAGTCATGATTTCTCAAGATTCTTTAGTATAGTTCTTGACATATAAATCTCATTTTGATTGAAGTAGGGATACCTATAAAATCTCCAATATAATTTTGCATTTTTTTTATTTATTTTTCCTAAAAAGTAACAAAGACCAAACAATGCGGAGTAGCAGCGTGAACAACACCAAAGAATGGCAATGGTGAGCATGACCTAAAGCCAAAGAGAACCTAGAGACAATGGAGCTATTAAGAGGGCAGATAGAAGGATAACA